ATTGACTAAGAAGGCTCCGTGTTAAATAACAGGAGAAGCACATGCAATGAGAGGTTGTAAAACATTATTCAGGAAGCCCTGGGAAAATTAGAGGCTTATGGGACATGGGCGCTTCAGTGCATAGGTGTAACAGGCTGTCAATGTTACCTGGTCCTGTTAGAATTTGTTGGCTGTGCTTGAAAAGGAGTGAGAGGGTTCTCCTGAACTAAGAAGGCTCCGTGTTAAATAACAGGAGAAGCACATGCAATGAGAGGTTGTAAAACATTATTCAGGAAGCCCTGGGAAAATTAGAGGCTTATGGGACATGGGCGCTTCAGTGCATAGGTGTAACAGGCTGTCAATGTTACCTGGTCCTGTTAGAATTTGTTGGCTGTGCTTGAAAAGGAGTGAGAGGGTTCTCCTGACTCTCAGAGCCATGTGGCTCTTTACCCTACCTGGATACAAGGCAAGTAAGACCAGCTTGAACAAAGAGAATGTAAAGTGAGGGCTGAGCAGCCCTGACGTGGGAACTGGAGATGCAGCCAGACCTGCCAAGGATGCTTGAAGTGAACTGGGTTATTGTAAATGTGTTTGTTCTGCCAAAATTCCAGAAGAGGATGGCCCAAGAAGCCTTTCCCAGGAAAGTATTAACTGGTGTGTGGGCTTGGTTTGAAAGAAGATTGGAAAAGGTGCTCTCTGTTTTCAGGCGGCATCTTTATAGTTTCTGTTCAGGATCTTTAGTGATTTATTTATTTTCTAACTTTTGGCAATTTGAAGCTTTCGGAAACAGGCTGCAAACTCATAACTGTCCATTTAACATAAAGTAACACAAATCCCAAACACTCATTATACACCTACCTGCTTTCAAAACCCCACTGAGGAAACAACAGAGCAATCTTCTGCCAACGCCAACGCCTAACTAACTAGCTCCTTTTGCTCTTTAGCATACATTCTCCTTGCCACAGTGCCTTATTCATGCTCTCCCGCTGTGCAGCTTGGTGGCCAGCTACAAACACACAGCTTCTTCCTTGGCAGCAGACTGGTAAAGACCTACATTCGCTAATCACTGTCAGCCCATGTAAACCCCCTCCTCCCCAGATCAGAGCAGAATTTGGTTTACTGTCTTCATAACAAATGCTAAACATGAGGCAATCCTCATTAAGGCCTGATCTACACTACACAGGCTTACGTAAGGCAGCTTACGTTGACCTAATGACTTCAGCGTACACACTACTACTGCCTTGTTCCCGCTGATGTACAGACACAACAACTCCACCCTGAGAGGCGTAGTTAGGGCGAGGCATTGTCTGCGCAGACACTGCATTACTTGCATCGCTGTCTTGGAGAGCTGAGTGGCTAGACTCCACTCTTGCTTGGGAGCTGGGGCAAGAAGCCTAGGTGATTGGACTCTGCTCCTGAAGCAGAACAGGGAGGTGAGAAACCTTGGGAGGTTTTGTCCCTACTCCCAGTGGGAACCGGAGGTGAGGAGCCTCAGGCAGCTTCCCTGTTGCTCCAGGCACGAAACAGGAAGGTGAGAAGCCCTCCTGGCAGGGAACATGGAGCATGGAGGGGCAGTGAAGCTGAGAGGCTAAGGGTACGTCTACACTGCAATACTATTCCGAAATAACTTGGTCCGCATGTACACAGCAGGCAGTTTTTTCGAAATAGTGCCACAATACTGTCAAGCTGGAGGACTTCTTACTCGGACTCCTGTAACCCTCATTGTACGAGGAATAAGGGATATCAGAGGAAGAGTGCTATATTTCGAAATAAGTGCTGTGTAGACGCTCCCTATTTCAAATTAAGCTATTTTGAAATAAGATACGCAATTCACATAGCTCAATTTGCATAGCTTGTTTCGAGTTAAGCCTTGCTGTGCAGACACACACTAGGTTCTTAGTTCCCCACACTGCACCTTTTAGACTGGTAGATGAAACTGGTGTGAATGCTCACCACAGACCCAAGGAGAGCAGAGTGGACATGCATCACCGCAGTAATTACTGCAATGTCTGTAAGTTGACCTAATGTAGGTCAACTTACATTACTAGTGTAGACATGCCCTAAGGCACAATGTTCTAGGTCACTGCCACTGACATGTTTTAAATCTTTTCTCGTCACCTAGATTAAATGAAGTTTGTGGTCTGAGTCCAATTGCTACTTGGCAAGTGGCCCCATGACACTAACTACCAGCACAGCTGGCAGCCTCAGCAGAGAAGCTGAAGCCATGGAGAGTAAAAGTGAACTATCTTTCTTTACCTAGAAGAAGTTCCTCCAGGTTAGGTTTGAAGCATGGGAAAGCTGGCATTGCTCCTGCCTATACTGATACTCTCTGGCGGCTAGAGACACACTCCATCTTCAGGAGTCTCAGTCTGGGAACTGGGAAACTCCAAATTCTCTGAGATTTTTCAGTGCACTCTCCTGGAACTCTAGTTGGAATTCATCACACTGAGAACTGGTCATAATTTTTCAAATAAAAAGACACAGTGCTTTAAAAAAATCAAAATTTTCAAATTATTTTAATGAAAATATCTCTTTTCACCCAATTTCCCCTTCTTTCCTCTTTTCTCAGACTTTTTCAATTAAAAAGAAAAATAAATAGATGAAGACAGAAAAAATCAGAACATCAAAAAATGTGGATAAAATGTCTCAAAAATTTTTTGAACAATAAATTATTTTCAAACACTTCCAGATGAAAACATTTTCAACGGGTTTGCAATTTACCCTCAATTTTTTATATCAGTTTGTTACTTAGTTCCTGTTCTAATATTGCATTGCACTACAAAGGCCTTTGATGCATTTATCTTACATTTCAAATGTTATGTCTATTGTACAATACTTCAAAGCATCAGACACAATCATTAACAGCAAAAGGTGCCTGGGCATGGTGGGGTCGAGTCTACATACCTTATACCCAGGTTTTCTTCCTCTTTTCTTTGGGATCTTCACTACTGGCAAGGAACCAGACGGTGCTGAATAGAGATTGTGAACGGTCATTTTCATTGGAGTAGAATGGAGTGGGGGTCTTCCTCGTTTTCTACCAGGTATTCTTGGAGACTGCATGTCAGCAGTATCCCCTCTTGGAGGCAGGGAGGCCAAGTGACTCATATGCAGAGGAGCTACAAATCAACAAAAAACACCAAGCACTTTTTATTGTTTGCAACAGAAAATAATTTTTCAAACCATGCAAAAGCCAAGGAAATTGTCTCACTCTCCTATTTTGCCTCACTGATTTTTGCTACGTGTTGGAAAAAGAACAAGGAGCTAGAGCACTGTCTGACTATTAAAAATGTACCTCTGAAGTGAATTTTCAAATATTGGTGTGTCCAGCCATTTGTTTTTCTGGGCTACAAATCCAGATCCCTTTCTTGCAAACCCAGCTGCACTGGTTAATAATGCAATGTTGCTGACTCTTGTGATTTTACCCCGATTTTCATAATAGTTGGTGTTTTTCTTAAATGCCCCATTCTCCGAGACACATGATAAAGTGAGAATCCCAGCTTTCATTGTCAGAAATACATTTTTAGCCCTCCTGGTTGCAGAGAAAAGTCTGAAAAAATGCCCCAAATGCAGGGCAAGGAAAGCAGCAGGAAATTAAAAAGAACCCCCTGTTAAACTATTTTTTTAAAATCTCATGATTTTGGGGATTCATGATTTAAATGCTTACAGCTGACCTTGCTGGTAATGTAGTACTGTAGATCCACTTACTTCAACAGGATCATTTACAATAGCGAGCAATGTTCTTGTGAATAACTGTGTGGCTTGATATCTCAGGGGCGGTTAAATATTTTGCCTAATCAAAAGGTTGAAAATAACATCGGAGTATGCGACTGACAAACAAGATTCACATTTCTGCATTCATTGGGGTTTTTGGTTTTGGTTTTGGTTTTTGACTTTTTATTCCTGGAGCAGAAAAACAAAAAGCCCCCAATGCCACACAAAGTATATTTATTTTTAACAAGTTAATGACAATGGTTTAATAAAATGACAGGGACCTGCTCGGTTTGAGCAGACCCATGATGTACTGTAGGATTTACAGACTGGTTAAAAGATCATTAGTCCTTCAACACTCTCAAGCAAATGGTTGATGCCTCACACCAGAGCAAAGCAAACACTGCATAATATAGCGAGCATGTGGAAATTAACAGAGTGGAGAGGGATGGTGCAGTTAGACGCCCTAGATGAATACTGATAACTCAGGATCTATGTGGAAACCCACTGTAAATTTTATTTTCAGAAAGTCAAGCCCCTGCACAGAAGTAGGGTTAAAAACAGCATGTTGAATACAATGTGAATCAAATGCAAAGGTTATCGAGCACCACCACTTCTTTTCTTCCTTCTTGTACAATGCATAGTTTTTATTACTGCAGTACCTTTTGACCCATGCCATCTGACCCTCTACTGCCACCCAAAACAAAAATCTTCTTGACATTTCAGATTACCTTAGAAGAAGGTGGTTTCCAGGGAAGGAAACAGAGGGTATCAACATTCTGGGTGTGACGCACACTGACACAGACATGAAAGTTTGGCACACACAAAAAAAGGTTAGTTTTTTTTTTCTCTTTTTAGTTTGCTTTTCATAAGGACTAAAAAAAAATTCTTCACAGAAGAGACTCTCAGGCAATTGGAAACTGTGTTTATACACTGCAAATGTATTTGTTCACTTATGAGAAAGGACAAAATGACAGAGAATAAGGACCTGATCCCAGCAAGCCCATTGAAGTCAATGGAGAGTCAATGACCATTGAAGTCCATGAGCCAATTAGGAAGTCTTTCCTTTGACTTCACTGGGCTTTGGATAAGACTTTGCACTTGATAAGCATGTCTTACATGTGAAGACAAAACTCTGTTCTGTGGGCATTTGATACAGCACTAATCTGTTCACTGAAGTTACATTCCATGTATGTATCACATAGCATGAATACGAATGATGATCTGACATTATAAAGGAATAAACCTCCCAAGTGAAAAAAATGTGAATGGATTCAGGTTATGATAAGCCAGTACCATCAAAGAAACCTCCTTTCCATGCTTATATTGAATAATTTCACAGAACAAATTTACTTTGTAAGTCAAAGGATCCTTGCTATTGAACTTTTTCTGTGTTTATCTACCTACCTTAGGCCTTTCTAATGCTCGTGGAACTGTAGTTTCTAGGAGCCAAGAAGTAAAGTACAAAAGCAGCTGACGGGTGTTCCACGCAAGGCACAACCAAATGACAGGGTATACAAAATAAACGTGTGTCATCTTGGCAATACCACTTTGTACGTTCTTGTATGTATGCATGCCTGCCTCTGACGCATTGGCATGAAGTCCATCACCAAGAATCTCACTCTAGAGCCCAGGTGCTGTCAGAACTCCATCGCTCTTCCATGTGCAGGTCCCAAATGCCTTAAGAACAACTGAATATAAAACTGCTCTAAGCCATCCCCTGGGATATTATTCCACTATCACATCAAGGGTCTACTTTATTAATGCTAATTTTATGAAGTACAAAGTTCCCAGAGCACAGGGCTGGGAAATGGAGAAAAGATGCCAGGGGAGGGAGTGTTCTGATGGGGCAATGGCCATACTAAAAGTCTGCTAGTCTGAGATTTTATTTCCTAGCCCCAGGTACAAGGTATAGGTCTGAGTTACAACATATTATATCCCTGTCACATGGTAGGGGTCAATAGGCACTGTTTTCATAGCTGCTGTTGGATCTGCCCTTTGCCGGTGTTTGATTTTCAAACACCAAAATCAACTGCACAAGTTAAAACACACACACGTAGGAAGGAGGTTAGGTTAGATTAGCTAAAACCACAGGACAGATGACAATGAATGGGGACTGTCTCTAAACCTCCATGGCTTTTTTATTACAAAGCCACTTCCTGTCCTCAAAAAAGAGTCTATTGAAATGGGCTGAGGGGAATGTGCTGCATAGAGTCCATGTCTGTTCTGTGTGTTTACTTTGTCAGTGTCTAGGTGGGCACGTGTCACTTCCTCATGATCCAAGCATGGTGAGTGGAATTCTGAATGTCCTCAAGAAACAGAGAAGCCGTGTCTTTGGTTTGGAACTTTAATTTCATGTAGTGATTTCTTGTTCTTCTGCGGGACTGACTCATAAAGATAGCTATAGCACAAGACTTTGGCGTGGGTGATATAACTGCTTCTTAGGAAGACTGCCAGCTTCTTTCTGTTTGAATTCTAAGATTTTCTTCCACTTGCAATGGCTGTAACTCTTGACATTCTTGCCACAATATTTCTTCTGTTCTAGATTCCTTGTGCATAGTTCTTATGTACATGACTGTAGGGTCAATGATCTTATGCCCAAGAAGCGCATCCAATGCTGTCAATAAAGCTTTTGTCCTCTTCCCAGGAGACTCTCAAATAATGATCTCTTGGATCCGACAGTGCTTTTTAAAAATCAAGATTTTTGATGTTTGTACTTCCCTGCTAACCTAACTGTGCACACGAAGATCTTTTATTTGATCTGATGTACCAAGACCAAAATCTCCTGTACAATATAAATATATTGTAATTACTACAGTTAATTGCAAAGGTGACCAACAACCTCATTCCTCTCCCATTTACATTACAGTAAATCAAGACCATTGCTAGTGAAGTCAGTTGTCTCACACTGATTTAAAACGGGTGTTACAGAATAATTAGGTCCTTTCTCTTCTCTTTATTTTTTAATTTAAATAGCAATGTTTTGAAAAGCCTACCGGTATATGAAAAGATCCAGCCACCTTAACAGTTCATTAGATTTATAATCATACCACCCAGCAGCAAAAATAACTCGTTACAAATTATTCTAATTAAATGCAGCAAATACCTTTAATATTATACTGAAATTTTAATTTGAGATTTTAAGGGTGCTTTGCTCCTTTGTCATAGCACATTTCCTTATCTTATAGACAATTCTAACTAAAAATGTTATGTTTTTTTTAATTGAAAATCTCAAAATTAGAACAATGTGCATGTGGCCCAGTCCTGATTTCACTCATTCCAGTTTTACACGGGTGAGACTCAACTGAGATCAAGGGAACTATTCCCAAGAGTCAGTGCTGTTGAAGTAATCAGAATCAGGCACAATGATTCTGTTGAATTTTATTTGTATTCTCTGTTCGGCAAGCAGGGTGGGGGAGGTTTCCCATGGTGGCTGATGAAGGCACTGATAAATCAGAGATCCTCAGTTACAGAAAAGAAAATAGGTCTCTCTCATATAGAAAAACACAGACCCACTTGAGTCAGTGAAAGTTTGATATTGATGTCCCTTGGGTCAAAGTTTTCCCCAGACCATTCAATGCCTAGAAGGACTTACCTTTTGTAAGCAGGATCTGAAGGAATGTGTCCCTTACAGCTACCTGGAAGTGGGGAGAGGCCTTGGGTGTATCTATATAAATACAGTTTGCTCCTGTTTTGCTTAGGTTTATTAAATATTCAGCTGATGGAGCGGTGTTTTCCCTCATTATAATCAACTTGGATGGTGTGTTGGGTCGCAAATTGTGTTAATACTAATTGCAATTTCTGTACTTTTTATGGGAAGACCAAAAAATAAAAAGAAAGAAAGACTGCATAACAGTTTTGGTGGTTTGCTCATTGTAATCAATTTGGTTGCTGTGAGGTCACAAATTATGTCAATAGTAAATGCAGGAATCGTGAAATATGATCATTAATGCTTGCAATTATTGGGAAACTGCAGAAAAGTCAGACTCTATTTAACCCATTTCAGGACAGAGACACTGTGGGTTAAAGGACCTGGAATGGACAAGGGTTCCACTGCCAGAGTTCTGTCTAATAAGAGGGGGAGAGCAGGATTCTGATCTGCAGGCTACATGCCCTTGAGGCATTAGCTGTAAGACAGGTTCAGCCTGTTTTGCCCACACTGTCTCCATGAGGGTATGTCTACACTACAGAGTTTTTTTGGAAAAACAGCTGTTTTTTTGACAAAACCTGAATTATGTTCACACGGCAATCATGTTCTTCCAAAAATAAATCGAAAGAACAGAGGGGTTTTTCCGACATTGGTAATCCTCTTTTTACGAGGAAGAAGCCTTTTTCCGAAAGACCTCTTTCAGAAAAAGGCGTGTGTGGATAGGGAAGAGGGAGTTCTTTCAAAAAAAGAGGAAAGAGG